GACTGGATTTTCTTTCATTCTATTATGACCCTGTCGAGTTGTATAGGCAGATAATGTAATAGACATGTGCTAGTTTAATGGATGTGTTTGGCGGCAATTTAGGCAGAAAATAAACCTAGGTCAACTAACTGGGGTTCTCTAGTATAGCAAGTGTTCTCTTTGTATGTGTGTGTGGAAAGGATGAGGAGAATGTTGATAGGATTTTTTTGTATAAAGGATTCATTAAAAGGAATTTTGATGGGACAGTTTTGGCATTAAGGGGTTTATTATTGAGAGAACCAAAGTGGGTTGAAGATTTAGTGCAGTTTAGTCAGAATGCTTTGGCGATATTGAAAGGATCAGCCCTATCTGATCTTGGTCTGATTTTGGAGTAAATGAGGAGAGGTGTTGGCCACGAAAGTGAATTTAACAGCCACGGGCTATATGCATGCTGCTGGGATAGCGGACATTCGCTATAGGACAAGGCAGCAGAATCCTCAACAGCCCTCACCTCATCTAGACTCATTGTTTCGACATCTGAACTGTAAGTTATAGAAATGTTCCCTTTGAATTTGTTACCTTATTTGTAATTATCAGAAAGGAAGGTTATTCCTTATATTTCATAAAGAGAAAGCTATTTTCTGTGAACTATGAGATAATGGATATTAGTTTTAGCTCGCATGTCGAATAATGAAGAGTTAACGTTGTTTAGTTTATTTGCTTACAGTATTATAGGTATAACAATTTCATTGTACTGAGAAGTTATATATGATTATATATATATCAAAGACATATGCTATTTTACAATTTTCAGATGAAAGGAACTGTACACAGTCGTTTATACATGTTGTCTGCTTGAATTGTTTTTTTTCAGTGAAGCAAAGCTGTAGACTGTAGAGAGATTGTGATGATAATTGTAAATTATTAGGATGAATATCGTTATGGCTAGATCGTGTCTATTTTGGTTCGTGTCTATTTTGGTAAATTGGTTGGCTATTTTGTTTCGATATAATTTTTCTTAGGGACGAGCTGGGCTCGTATCCATAACCCTTTCCATTTATCAACGGACTGGTGCTCTTAGTCGTAGTCGACACGCTCAGACAACGTACTCACAGCTAGTCTTCAAGTTCACGCACGTTGCGGTCGTATACCGGTCAGGTTAGACAGACTTCGCAGTTCATGCACCGCAGCACTGGGTTACTTCGTACATCGGGGTACTTCGTTTCACCTCCTCAGAAACAGAGAGAGGTTGTATTCACGAACTAAGTCTAATCCAACAATTTACTTGATGTATACAAAGACCGGGCTAGAGTTGGTGGAGTATTGCTGTTATATAATACCCCGAAGGATGACTCAGTCATTGCTGGCAATGTATATTTTCTTTGGGAAATATTGAATGTTGGAACTTGAAATTATTGATGGATTGTTGGTATAATAATAGAACGATAAATACAATGACATGATCTATTGTTATACTCTTATTTCATATTGAATCCAAATCATGTTGCTGTGTCATTTATTGGTGTGTACATTATTGAGCAGATGACCCTCAATTAAATCTATGTACACTATTTTGAAGCCGCCTGATTATTTTCCTGTGATACATATTCATTAAATTGTTCTGACTACGTAGACTTTGTCAGAGGAAATATTTCTTTACTCTTTTCTCTCTCTCTCTCTCTCTCTCTCTCTTTCTCCCTCTCCCCTATTCCTTCTTCTGTCCCCTTCCCCCTCTCTCTTTCTCTGTCTTCCTTCCCCCTCCCTCTCACCATATCTCTCTCTCTCTGTCTATCTCTTTTCTAAAATATCTCTTGGGCCTTTGTAGACTATGTTGGTCCCTAGATCTTCTGAGGTGACATCTGCTCCCTGATGAGGAAAGAAAGATCACCAGAGTTCAGAATAACAGGAAATAACACCGACCTCCTCGACCTAGGCCCACATTGTGAAAGTATGGGGAAAGTCCCTAAACATGATCCCGCAAACAAGTATACTATCTTTTACAGCTGCATGCATGCCTACTTGTACTATTAAAACAGATGTCCTGATAGTTTGCAGACACAAAGCCTTGCCAGTCGCTGTGTATGCACAGTGAAACAATGCTGAGGGTATACCACAAAGGCTCTATTTAGCTGATGTGATGCAGCCAGAGACCGGCAGGTGCGCCTTCCCGTCTGCCCCCCCCCCCCCACCCCTCTCCGGGAAATGTACATTTTGTTGGAATAGGACAAACTATAAATAGATTCTCACGAAATTAATAGATGCTCTGCTACGCTACGCGGCAGATCAACTAAAAATAGGCCTCAAAAGACGGGAATGCAGACCCAGAAAATTATTGGACCGCATATTACTATTTCATTTAAACCCGACCCAAAGGTTATCTAAATACGTAGAATACACAGGTATTATTTATTGTAATATTCAAACGAACAGTCGTACACGCAGCCGCATAGCAGCCGCAGCGTTAGCGTGTCTCGTTCAAAGGCCAAGTTGACAAACTTCACATATTATGTGAACGCGTTTTAAAGCCCTTATACGATTTGTGTACACTCCAGTAATGGTCGATGGTTAGAAATGACAAGCATTTACAATTTCTTGTGAAAAGATGTATTTAAAAAAATGAAATTTCCCAGTGTGCTTTGAAAACCAATAAACAGGCAATTTTGCATATGGCTCATTATATATGGCTTATTATATTTTTATTGAAGCAATGACCAACTTGTATTCACTTCATTATGTAGATAAATTCAAAATAAGAAATAAGTTCCTTCACATTGTTCTTAAGGGGTACATACAGTTAGTTGGCTTCATGGACAATAACATAAGATCTACAATTACAACAACTAAATTATTAATGCCCTTACCAAGTTTTGTCATTTGTTAAGTGTGTAAACAACTGGTTTGCCCCCATTTATCTTTCTTGAGAATGTGACATATTAACGTTTTCGTCTTGATGTATCAACAAGTCCACATTTCGTTCCTGAGCTACGAAAAATACACCAACATCCAATTAACAAGGGAGTTTTTTTTGTAATAAATGATTTAGTTGTTAACCGTGCATATGTAATTATGAGCATGACTCTCGGATGAATATCTTTCTTTCTATCTCTCTGTTTCTCTCCCTATCCCCCTCTCTCTCTCTCACTCCAGTACCCTCTAATTTCTCTGGGTTTTTTCTTTTCACATTTCCTCACTTTATCTTGTAATGAAATGTAGTCCAATAACAAAAATGAATTTTGAAGAGAAATCAATTTATTGCCAATTCAAAAAAACACAATGTCAAGGAAGGCACAAAACTTTGTAAAACATCAGAGGTTATAAACATGCGTCCTTGAGTAGATGTAAATTGTCACAAGCTGAAACATTATTCAAGTTCAGTTGACTTGTTTATAGCGTTTGAATATACTACCTGGATTATCGAGAATAGTCATATTCATGATTACCGTAATATAAAGGCGTACAACTGACACCATATTATGATGTGCGATAGATATCATAGTTTAAATATTTCCGCGACTTGATAGTTTATATGAATGTATTTATCTAAGCCAAGGTCATTATCATTACAAGTGAACTTTAGATGCTTAAATTGGTTTATTCGTTGATCTCCAAAGTTTCAAGATTAACCTGTAACTACAGTTATACAAGTTGGAGTTAATCAGTAACGAGAGGGGTATCCCCTGCGTCCCCGAGCCACCTAAACACATAGCTTTGGCCTACTGGGAAGTAAAGAGTGTCAGCAATATGGTACAATTTGTTGCGTTACTTGCTTGCCCAACACAGCACCTTACCTTATAATGCGTTAACAACCAAAACCAAGTCTGCTCTGGCACCCCACCCCGCGTCCCACTCCCTTCCTAACCCACCACTCTGTATCGACCTGAACCTTACCTCTTTCTCAAATTTTTTTTTTTCCTAAATTCAATTTTAAGAAAATATGAACATTGAACTTATATTACATGGAGTCATAACATATCAAGGATGTAAAAACGGAGTTCCTGCTAATATATTGGGTAACAGGACACACAATTTGAAGCATTTGTGTGTTACTTGTTATTTAATGAAACCTAGCAAGCGTTATATATTTGTGATCATTAATCCCACGCTTTCTATGTACAATGAAATATAATTTTAAATGTGGAATGTTATTGTGAATATAAAGATACATAATTATGGCGTATAACTATTGGATTTGTCACCTCTGGAATAGCAGTAAAAAAAAGGAATGATCTGAATAACTGAATTTGTTAGTTGCCATGGGATTGGCAATATTGTAGGTGTCGTTTCAAGACATGTACTGCAGCCCTTTGAGTAGATTCACAACGAAATCACAATGTGGAAAAGTACCATGAAAACATCTACAAAGCATTAACAAGAATAAATGATGTGATTCAGATAATGAGGTCTTAAAAGTGGAAAAGAAAATTTAGTACTAAGGGAAGAGTAAACTAAAATGGATGGAATAGGCAAGCGAAATATATAGATTATTACAAAAAAGCAAATCATCCATGGCAAATGTGTATTACCGGTATTCCCAGAAGTCCAACACTAATGTTTTACTTTAAAGGTAATACAAAGTTTTGGGAAATTTTGAAAATTGGGTGGATAGTGATTCTTTACAATTTTGATATATTTGGATGCCCCTGTGGATGTATTATGAGCACTAGAAAATTTAGCCCCTAAAACACTTCTGCTTTCGAGAAAAATGGAATATAGAAATTTACCGGTGCTCCCGGTAAATGTTGATAAATTTCAAATAGCGCCTACGGCCGTACAATAGTAACTGCGACCATGAAAATCTCTGAATATGTAGTTGTGATATATAATTTCCAAACGGGAATAGCTAGTCCGTCGATTTTCGTCAAGAAAGATTATTTTAAAGCTTAATTAATATCTTGACCTTGAGAGGGAGCTATACAGCATAAAGAGTTAATTATTTATAATTTCATAACTTTAGACTCGATTTCAACCGCGACAACGATCACTGAATATTGTAGGATCGCATATGCTTCCAATATGTTCATTTGAACCAAATTCATGACCCCATACCAAAACTTTGTATTACCTTTAACCATGTCGACGAGACCGCAAAGACTTTCGACAATTCAGCTTAAGGGTAAATTCAATATCGCATTGTTTGTCCAACTGAAATCAGGTTCACATTACGTAATATGTCACTGGCAGTAATGTTCGCACATTTCAATAGGTGATGGACTAAGGCTTCTGAAAATCCCTTCGGCTGATGTGTCAATATAGTCTTTGCAATCGCGTTCATTATACATACATTTGTGGATACCATGAAATAGTTACACATCTTTGTACACAATCCCCCCACAGTCAGCTTTATTTAAAGCTTCATCAAGATCTCTCACTTTTCCACCATTCTCTCTGCATTTCCATTTCATTAACATTTTGAAATTAGCATCTTTTAGTGATGACTGATTTTGCAACTTTATATTGTCGTGTTCGGTGTAGCTAACGCCTAAGTGAACGGCGAGATCCGTGTAGGAGTTTGCAGGGAGGCAACCTGCCAGTTTCAGTAGTTGCTTCTCCGTAACGTTTGGGTCCGTTCTATGGGTAAATCACACACACAATAAAATTCGTATTTACTTTTATAATGATGATTTAGTACAACAAAAAAGATTTTATAAGTAGGTCTTATTTATTAACCGATGTAGTCACACAAATAATACTACTAAGTTTTAAGGTCCAGCAAGCAAGACGCTTATCTCTTCATTGCACTATACATACATTGGGGCTAGACATTAATAAAGTTACAAGATAGGGGGCCACATTAATTTATTGAAACAAAAAGCATGAAAATAAAAGCATGAAAATAAAAGCATATATTCCAATGTAATTGTCAGTTTAAAGCTCAATTACACAAAATAATATATAAGTCTACATACATGTATTAACAAAAAAATATGGAGTGTGATATAAGTCAAATTTATGCCACCTCTATAACATACGGTGTGTTATTAATGCTACTAGTCCTTCTACTACTATTACTACTACTATACTACTACTACTACTATATACTACTACTACTATATACTACTACTACTACTGCTGCTGCTGCTGCTACTACTACTACTACTACTACTACTAATACTACTACTACTACTTTTACTATTGCTTCTATAAATATCACTATTACTAATACAACTATTATTACTACTACTACTCCTACTACTACTATGTACTAATATGTACTACTACTACTACTGCTACTACTACTACCACCACCACCACCACCACCACCACTTCCACTACCACTACCGCTACTACTACATGTAAAACATCCTCTACTGCTGCTGCTTCATACACATGCACACACATGAATACCAACCCAACTTGACGTGGATTTTAGTGTTTGCAAATCTTCCCTTTGTTACGGGTAATATATATATGTTCACAGTGTATATACGATATATATAAATATAGTTGTGTGTGTGAATGTGGGTCAGATAGTGCTGGTGTGTGTGTGTGGTAGGGCCTACATTGTAATCTTTGTAACATAATTTCTTTGAATTTATCTGGAAATATCCCCTTAAAGGAAAAGGGCGTACAATGCATTGTTCTCTTTTTTGCATTATATGAAAAGACTGTACCTGTTCAAGCTCGCCCCCTGTATCACGGTAGACGATGGCAGCATGGTTGGAATATCAACTGTGGAAAGAGAGAGAGAGAGAGGGTGATTTTGGTGTCATATTAACCGAACTCTGGACGCTGTTTCATACAGTGTTCTTATCAAGTGTACACGTTACAATTACTGTTATAAGTTAATGATATCGCTGCATTTAAAAGACTGTAAGCATAATTAATATAGAATGTAACACCTGTTATTAATAAAAGTATTATGAAACAGGGAACTGCAAATACATGCAAATCCATTTTACACGAGTGTAAAGTGTACCTGACTCAAGAAACTACTCTTTTTTTTTTTGGTTCTTAATGCAGATTTATGTATGCTGCCAAATGCCGTATCGTTTGTTGACTGTGTTTATTCTTGTTTTACATTCACTCTATACGAATAAGAGTTCAAACTAAAACACGATCGAAAACTATTTAAAACAAGTGTATATTATTCTTTCATTTTTCATTTATTAAATATGGTAGATGGTCTTTATGATTTTCATATTTGGAATGGTTTTCTGTTGGACGTTCACTGAATTCTGAAACTATGCTGATATTTAGAAAAAGTGTAACTTTGTATGAGTAATATGGGCGGAGGGTATTCTGAACAAGTTAAAATGATAACTTTGACCTCTCATAATTATTCTCCTGTATTCCAAGTCTATAAAGAAAATTAAATTACTTTGACCTAAACTATTCTAGCAGACTGACGATTGTTAAATGGGACTAAATTAAGAGATTTCTGGCACATACAGAAAGAAAGGACATAAATGCAAACGGACCAATGTGCAATTTATTTTTCTTGTTTTTATGAATGAGAGGTTCAGAGACAGTTTATTTTGAATTACCATTGACTTCCATGAATTCCCTTTTTCCCGTCAGAGAGAATGGCCACCATAAGAACCTTTGTTGAAAATAATAGTTTCGACATGTATTTCACTAAATCAGATTTGTTGAAATATAACATTTGACAAAGCATACATGGAAAAGATAACCTGATGTAGTCATTTAGATACATTCACATAGCGGCCAAAACATCAAGTTTTGCTCAGAAATATTCGACTACCTTGTGGTGCTTTTATCAAAAGCTTTACAATCGGATTACAATCAGACGTTGTGCCGCCCCATTATCATGTCCATGATCTGTTTGAAATTTTCAAGCAGTGCAAACAAATTAATTTTTAATTTGTAATTCTGATTCTCTTTTTTGTCTGTATCAAGTGCATCATTGATCCATTGCATTTAAAGAATCTCTTACCTGTTACGGGAGTGATTAGATATTGGGCTGCCAGGTTATCAAATCCAGCCTTGAATAGTGCCTCCCTCAATGCCGCATTTTCCGTCGAAGGTGTTTGTTTATTTCGCCACGTCCTGAGCAAATCCAATGTTCCCATATAATTCCCTCCTTGTTTGGCGTTTTCGTCAATTTTGCGACCAATATCTCCGGTCCCAAATCCTAAGGCTTTTCCGAGATTATCGATGTCTTCTTTTTTATGCAGGGCCTTGGCTATTTCCTTCAAGATTTCGTCAAAATCTCTGTTGCCTGCGGAGCTCATTTTCTATTTAGTTATCTATATAGTTAGGATAACAACAAAATACACGAATTTAGGATGCTCCTTAGGTCGAAATACAGGAACTTTCGCCAATAGGGTTTTCTCAATGACAACTTGTTTATAACATGGTATTAAATAATGGCAGCAGCAGTAGTTGACTAATATTTAATTTTGTGTACACCAAGAAGAGATAAAGCCAAACCCCAGAGAAATAATACTTAAAAATAATACATGTTGCATAAGGAAAATTTAACAATATATACTGTGGAGGTTTAAAATGTCTTTTTATGCACTCAAAATAAAATTCTTTCTCATGTGCTTTCTGGGTCAATATGGTATATTACAGTTTTGTGTACGTTGTAGTTAGTAACATTTATCTTCACGGAAGAGGTTTACGGTACACCATGTGTAAAGTCCTCGAGGGACTGAGGAAAGTAGATAGAAAATAGAAGTGAGATGAAAAGGCGAGAAAGTGGAGGTTGGAAGGAAGAGTATCTTTCGGAAGTGAGTATAGTCCTGAAAAGGACTGTAAACCAGAAAGTTGTAGGCAGGATGAGAGGTTTGAGTAGAAGACTGGATTGAGTTGGAGAGTTGAGTAGGCGAGTAGAGTTGTAGAGCAGGAGCAAGAGAGTAGGCTCGACGTTTCGGACAGGTTGACTGTCCCTCGAGGACTTTACACATGGTGTACCGTAAACCTCTTCCGTGATTAATCATACCACCATGCAAACCTTCAAACATCAACATTTATCTTGTTGGCACCAAGAAGTGTTTTCGATTGACAGCGGCATAACAAGAGCACACTTTTACTTACAAATAGTTGTAGACATATCTTAGGCACTATATGATCTATCTGTATAACTATTTAGAAGTACATAATACTTAGGATACCGATGAACCATTTTAAAATAGCAAGCAGTATAGTATTATAGACGAATTTACAGTATAACTTCTACGTTTTTCAGATTACATTATGCACATTACTCGCGGGTCTATCAAACCCTTATTCGAACCTCGCTCTAACACGTAATCCTATGGAACGACATGCCTTTAACACGGCAACCTCTGAAGAGATAGTCGTTAATAAGTTTCGACTAAAACACCCCAAAATCGAAATACATTTTTAGTGCCTTACCGAGTTCCGCTTGAACTAAAAAAAAGGCATTCAACCGAGGAACTCCCGATTAACATATGTGTAAAGTTCCAATATAGAGGGAAATATGTAGGTACCCCCTACTTTACTTTAAAAATCCGTCATATTTGTCCCCTTTTTTTAACTTGCGCTCACCGACCGGCGAACTTCTACTGATTTCGTAGTGATAACGTTTCCCGTAAATATTGTCCTCAAATCCAACCAAGATGTCATCAAGCGATTATTTCAGTGACGAAATTCCGTAAAGAAATGGTGAATTTTCATATTCAGTTACCTTTATAAAGAGTCTTTATTCAAATCAAGCAAAAATGACTCCGGAAATCGCAAAATTTCAAAATAGTGGTCCCACGTATAGTAGTTCGAGTTTGTTGTGAGATGACCACACATCTATGAGCAAAATCAAAAGTGGCCAAGAGAGAAGCTGAAAAGGTATGTTTATGTCTATAACTTGACAAAACAATTCCTGTCCTAATATCTCATTATGACATCTTGTATTGCTTAATACTCTAGGAACCGAAATCACAAAACATAATACACACTCACCTGACTTATGCCTTGTCCTTCTGAATTGAATAACGAAATGGAAGTGCTAATGTATGACGCTTCAATAGGCTTATGCGGTCAACCTTACACTTGCATATAAGTGTGTACTTGACTCGAAACGGGGATTTTTGTTCTTTCATTTCGCAATCTCACATACACTGAGTGTTAAAGCGGCAGTTCATCGTCATGGCTCTGCCGCCTAAATTGTGATCACATGAAGAGGGGGCGCTGTTGTTTTTTAAAAACCGGGCAGATTGCAACGTGTAAAATATGGCAATATAACATAACACGAAACATATAAAGTTATGTACTTATCAGAAGGCAGAATGTTATATTCAAACAGATCTGCCTAGGGTTTTCCCAAACACTTCACGTATTATACTCAGGATTGCTCTTCTTGAACTATTGTTAGAGTTTTCAATATATTTCATTCTGATTATAATACAATACATATAATTCTTTTCAAAATATGCACCTAGGCATTCAATGTGTGTTGATAATGAAATGGCAAAAATGTCGTGTAACCTGGTCTTGGTTCTTCTTTTTTATGGCCGGCGCGGTTATAGAAGATTGTTTTTTTTAAAGATTAAATCACATTTATGTGTGTGGGGGGGGGGAGGGGGTTAGAATACTGGGACGTGCTTGAGCCCCATGCAAAGCGATCCCTTCCCTTCTCTAACAGCTGTTACTCCTAAGGTGCGATTTTTACATTGACTTTTTTCATCTATATATTCCAGGCATCATATTTGCTTTTATGATATACAACGTAAATAAAGCCATGGATCAAAGTCCTATGAACTCTTTTGTGCCTTTCTCTCCATACATAGTATAATATACGTTTATAAATCCAATAATAACATAGGAGTAAGTGGATTTTGTATGAAAATCTAAGGCATGTTGAGAATTGATAATTTGAAGTATAAAAAGCGAATTCTGCGGCTGAATCATATATCATATGATCTTTGCTCAATCGTTATAACTTTGTTTTTAATTATAAGCTTTATATAGAATGATTATGGTTTATTATATAAGTCAAGCCTTTACACGATCGCAGACACTCAACACAAATCTTAAGAAATTGGCATAAGTTTTTTCATTACCTTTCAAAATATTTAAATTTAAGATGGCTATAGGAAGTCAAAAAGAATATTGGAATTGCCCTTAAGTTCATTTCTTGAAGAAAAAAATGTATGCAATCATGTTCCTAGAATGATCAGAGATACTTTTATAATTATCATCCCACGTGCGAAAAATTTGCACCTTTTCTTTTTCTACTCAAGCCCCAATGCCCTTATTTAAACAATAATCATGAAAGAAAATAATTAATCTCTAGGCGCTCTATATTTTCATGGTAAATAATGATCACCTGCTAGGTGTTACTTTATATGTTATGAATAGGTTCATGATACATAACCATGCTTTTAGAGATTACTTAGGTTTGCTCTTAACGATAAACTGAATTCGAAATCCTATATTCTTACCCTGACACCCTAACCACAAAACGTTTACTTCATTTTTTTTTGTTTATTACAGCATAATTATCATGATTTTTTAATGATAGCTTTTTATACCCTACATCTCCCAGTATTTTGATGATGGCATGGGCTATTATGTTTCATTCATTGGGCAAGTAGAGGTGTCGTTGTCTTGTGGATACGTCGCTGGACTGTGGATCACATGGTTGGGGTTCGAGTCTGCTGCGGCACTAATGAATTCCTTCAAATGCCAGAGCGCCGCAGTAGCCGCCTTGTTAAAGCCAGGGTAATAATCGGCGAGTGAAAGTGAGCAGGCGCCGCCCAAATTTTAACTCCGCGCTAAAACTTCAGCGGCGACCGAGCGACGCCCCAAAAGCAAGCGGTGCCCGGGAGGCCGCCGTCCGGTCGCCGAGCAGGCTACCTTTTCGTGTTGTGACCATATCTTAAGAAAGTGGCTCCTCGTTCATGTCTTAGGGATTTTCGATACATGTATTCGGGGGAAATGATAACGATTAAGGGTGGAATTGAAATTAGTATCTAATTTCAGGATTGGAATATGACCCGATGTCAGAAGTTGCGATAATTAATCAATAATTAAAAAGTAGGATAGAAAGTGGATCAAGGATTAAGCAGTGTTGCCTGTTTAATAGGGGGGTTGTGATATTTTTGATCTTTTGCATTTAATGTTCTTTTATTTGTATTTTTTCTAGGTGTCTTATGATTTTGAGTAAGGAGTAAGGAGTAAAGTACATTCCTATTCCTGGTGCGCCCTCAAGTCCTTACTCACGGCTGAACTTATAGCTGCACTTTGGCAACAAGAGGGATTAATTTCAAACACTTTACACCCAACCCTCCGGGAATCAGGGTTTTATTATTTAAGAAAGTTTGTTTAACCGACGAGAACACCCGATGACTTGAGATAAACCCCTTTCTAAAACTTGTTGATGGCTCTCTATTGAAATTGCTATCTCCCCCATAAAGACGAAAGGGTTTTTCTTTCTGGATTTCGTTACCTTCTTCTTACGGATACTACAGTGTGGTAGATTTGTTTACAATGAACTCCGCCTTCATTTAAAATTTCTTTATTTCTATATTTTCATGTGATGAAAATAATCTAAACACTGTTTTAAAGCAAAGGATTGCATTTTTCAAATTACAAAATTATATTGAAGTCCTAAAGAACAGGTAAAGAACCAAATCATTTATTACGTAACGATGGTAATCGTAACTATGATCATCATTTATTTCATTATAAAAGTATTCGCTGACGCTGACGTCTTTACATAAGTAACATATTTTGAACTATAAACAAATTCATGATGGACATTATATTTTCGTTCACATTAAAGTAACATATTAAGCATGCAATACAAATACTGATGGAATCGTAACAATTTTATGTAACTTGACATTATGTAAATTTAAATATAAAAAGGTGTAAATGTATAAGACATTGTACAAATAAGGCTTGCCAATTGAATGCATAAGCGTTTACAATTTTATATCTTTGTAACACAAGTGAAAGAATATGGACTAAGACTAATTAAAGTTGATATGGAAAAGGAGTAATTACTCCTATGATAACGTAAAGCAAATACAGTTGTGGTGGCTTATGGTCGATTTCTAGCCGATCTCCCGACACGTGCTCCTGCGATCATTGCTACAGGCTTTAACCTGTTTACTACGGAGTTATCTTATTCCCATAATGCTTTACACATGGACCACCAGGTTCCAGTAAGCAATGGGTTAATTCACAAAAGGTAAATATAAATGGTTAAGACTACTATTCGGGTTTGGGGTTAGATTTAGGGTTGAGGTTAGACATATTTCATGGTCCAAGGTTGAAGTTCAGAGTGCAGTTAGTCTTGAAATGTTATGCAGAGCATTTGTCGCACGAGCGAGTGACGTACAACCCTTTGCTCATTAGTCGGTTAGTGTACAGAATTGACAGGGGTAATTAATTTGGTTGCAGTGGCAGGTATCCTACATCCTCATTTCCAGGACTAGTTCTTGTACTTGGATACAAGTCCTCCAATTTCTACTTTTATTAAAGCTGCATCAAGATCCTCCATGAATCCACCCTTGTTTTTCCATTCTTGCAATATTTCTTTGAAAGCAGCCGTGGGGTCCATGAAACGTTTCTTCTTTATATTCTGTACGTAGTCGTAGCCGAATCCCAAGTTTTCGCACAGCTCGTTATATTTCCCATCAGGTAAATAGTTTGGATAACCTGGTGATCTCCTCATTCGTCACTTCTCTCCTGTTCGACCTACAATATATTGAAGCATGAATAAATAAAGGCCGATTATTGTGCAAAATTATATTCTTCGAGGGGCATATTTCTAATCCTTAAATAGTCTGCACTTTGTGTAATCACAACATTTTCCTTTTTTTTCAATCACAAAATCGTTTCAAAATTAATAATAACTGAAGTCACATACGATTAATTTTTTAATTCTGATAAAATCATTATTTTACTCATCTTTCGTGAAAAAGTAAAAGTAGGATAATCAAGGAGGTTAGAGTATTTGATATTTGTGCGAGTTGAAAGAAAATGTGGCAAACCATACAGGTTAAAATTGGACTTCTCTGTTTGTACTATCATGACTGCACTGACAACTAAGACATAAGATATCTAAATGTAATATATTTCTAACTCTATATTCATTATCATTAGCTTTTAAAGGTTAAACGTTGAGCCTGCTTCTTTCCTTTTGATCTCCGCGATGGGTATGGGCTGCCGGGTTACACATGCTTCCTTGAAACATACCACCGTATTCAGGAAAAGTCTTGTAAATCGTATACAAGTAATCATTATTTTTTTTAAATGCCTTGATATAAAGTTTATGTTTAATGTTTACAAACGTTACACCTGACCATCCAGGAATCAGGGCCTGATTATTCTCGAAAGTTCGTGTAACCCGAATACACTGAGATTCTATGGAACAAAGGTTTTGTACCAAGTTATTAGTTTACCTGCTTGTGTTGGTTGCCGCTGCCATGGTAGCCGGTGAAGGTTCAGTAACTGTTTCTCGTTGCTGCCCGGGCTAAAGACCTGTGTATAGTAGACACAAATATGCACAGTGCTCATGACGTCGACACGATTTTTTTTCTTCAAAAATCATCTTCAGTTTCTTTTCATATTAAACCTGAACGTAACAAAATTTACATGACCATTTTTTGCTTCGAACTTGTAGATAATGTTTTCTTTTTCTGTATGAACCGCATTTCTTAAAAGAATCTAGTCAGAAAAATTGCACCGTGCCGATTTTCGCTTACCGGGAAAAGGAGTGCCTAGATATTGATCTGCCAGGTTGACAAATCCAGCTTTTAATAGTGTGTACCTCAACGCCTCCATTTCCGTCGACGCTCTTTGTCTTTTCGCTACATCCTGAGTATATCCAATGCCTCCCATGTAATTTCTTCCTTATGTGGCGTTTTCGTTAACTGTGCACCCAATTCCCATGGCTTTTCCTTAAAGATGTCGTCAAAATCGACATTGACTACGGATTATCATGCTCTATTTAGATAATGTTTATATAGTCAGGATGGTAAATTACTTTAAATTTAGATATTTCGGGGAAGGTCAAAATGTACAGATCTTCGCTCCTAAACATTTGTTTTCTATGATAACATATTAATTACGTGGTGATACATTACGAACGCAGCAGCAGAACGTACAACAACAAAACAATTGCCATTGACATACAAACGAAGACAAAAATCGAGAGGAAATAAACAAATTCAGCTACGTAGGACTAGTGATACGAAATGGTAAGGTGGTGATAGAAAGGGAAAAATAAAATAACAACTGCATCAAAACAATTAAAAGAATTACAAAAGATCACATCAGATGAGAGTCATGAAAACATAATTATTTTCCCCAGTAATCTGGAGCTTTGACAAACATTTAAGTGATGGTAAATCAAGAAGAAATAAAGCCAAATCACAGTAAAAAAAAATACTTTTTAGGGTGCTAGTGCCCCCATCTTGCATGAGGGGAACTCTACACTAAATTCTAAATAGGTTTACAACTTTTCATGTTCATTCTGGCTTAGTTTAGTATTGTATAGTTTTCGTGTACATTTTTTGCATTAAAATGTACCCTTTTGGCAGCATGGAGTCTCTTTAATTGACAGCGAAATGGATACAAATTGGATACTTTTACTTATATATATATATATATATATAGTTGTTGACAAATCTTAGACACTGTGCGATGTAACTGTAGAACTATTAATGAGTACATAGAGCGTTTAAGATTTCTCACTAGCAAGCTACCGTATCACTTTTACAATCGAAGACTATTTCACACATTTTGCACAGTTACACGCGTGTCTATTATCCTCACTTCACCGTGTACACTTACAAACATAACTACATGTACTATCTGTATACCTTAGTATAGACTGGTTATCAATAATCGGTGTGTTTATGTGTTATCCATGTTTATCTATGACAAAGCAGGTCGTTTCCTAATACCTCTTTCTGACCACTTTATGTCATTTACTTTAGGAACCGAAATCATAGAGCATAAGTATATATAAACTTACCTGACTTATTCCCTGTGCTTAGATATCGGATAGCGAAATCGATGCGCTACTATATAATTATAACGGCTAGGCTTCTGCAGTTAACGTGGCACGTTCAAGTGGGGTTATTTGTTTAGGTCGAAGTCTCACATTCATAGAGTGTGGTTCTACGTCAGTACCATCGTATGCGAGAATCGATTATATACCATCTATTCAGGGGCGACGAAACGTGTTTTATAAGTTGGTACACCAACCAAAAACAGTCGATCCCCTACTAAGCCAATGTACTAAGGGTGGGTGAAAAGCTAGACTATTCATACGTTTGAGACTGTACAATGACCCTATCAAGTTCGTTTTAATAAAGACAGACAAATGAGAAAAACAAACTTGTGAAAGTTTGAGCGACCTCCGAATGAGCATAGAAAAGTTAAATATTTGTTAAAGTTAAGAAGAGACTAATTGGGTAGTAGACGAACTGGTTGTAGACCAAACGGCAATGCACCTTTAAGGCTCTGCCGTCTCACATTGTGATGATAGGACGAGGGGTTCTGTTACTTTTAAAGCCGGTCCGATTGCAGCGTGTTAAATATGGCTATAAAAATGATTTTGAATTAAAGCACATGTTGTATATAAATGAAATAAATAATATGCAGTTTCAGAAAGTGTGACCAAATAAAAAGGTTGTTCAAACAAGCAGGTCAAATAGTTGGTGAAAATTTCAGTCTAGATGATATTTGCTCTATCCGTTTTCTTAAAAAAGTTAAGAATATCATGAGGGATCCCCAAAACCCCCTTCATCCATGTTTCTGCTGGATGAGATCAGGCAAACGACGTCTGCTAAATGCAGGACAAATCGATACTTAATTCTTTCATTTCATTTTCCCTTAGAGCCTGTAACAACACACGTTAACTGTAAATATAGTACACCTGAAATGGTGACCATTTAACTATAATGTCTAAGAACTTGGCCGTTCAGTTTGAATGCAATTTAACTTTGACTTGCTATGCCCGGTGCCATGTGCTGTGCTGCTGAGTTCGTTGTCATGTAAAAGTAAACATATAAGAATATTCATCACAAACATAAAACTTGTGTCAATATGCGCAAAGAGGCGCCGCTTTTTAATGGACCGGTTTCGTAATTATAACATTATGGGCAGATATAAACAGTAGCGGCTAGTGTGTGCGATTCGCACTCTGCCTCTCGGGTTGCGGTCGCTCATGGTAGGTGGGTGGAGTCATTCTTGTCCGGGCGCCTCGCGGGAACATGTGCATTTGGTTTGAATACGTTGCGAAACTAGTCTTTTGTATATCCTTGACATGCATGAATGAATGAAAAACTGTCCTCACTATGTGCAATATATATCCATGTCTTCAACAGGTTATAGGGCTGTCCTTTCCTGTGTCTTATTATTAGTATAGGTTTTTCCTGGCCAATTTCGAAAAAGCAGCAATCAATATCATTAACGTGCATTCATGGTCGAGCAAATTTTCTCAACTCGTCCCTCTCCCGTTTCATTTGTAAACTTGTTGCATTCAATTTCGTTTGGAGTCACCGAATTTCCACCTCTCCCTCTCCATCTCTCTCTCTCTCTCTCTATCTCTCTTCCTCTTCTCTTCGTCTCTCTTTGTCTCTTGTTATTTCCCACTGTCTCTTGCTCTCCTCATGTCTACCCGGGCGTGTACCGGCTTGGGACGATTTCCTGGGGGGGGGGGGGGGGTGCAGGGATTGGGGTTCTGTTTACTAACGTTATGTTGAAAATCTTGAGGCTTTTTTTACTATGTATATTTTGTGCATTGTGTCGATATATCAAGTTATGTTTTTTTCAAATTGTTCACGGATTTTGAATGCAAATATTTCTTATTTCAGTGTCATGCTTTATATGTCTTCATAAATGTTTTTAATGTAAAAATATATATATATATATATATATATACAGTGCGTCCTAGAAAAAACGAAACCGAGAAGTATCGATGTTTTATCATAACTTAATCACAACCATAATTAATGAATGATACATATTTGGAAAGCTTAGAGTCTCCTCTTTCAGTTGATGCTACTCAGATGATGCATATTTCACGCATAAGTGATTAACAGCAATTTGAAGGAAGTAAACCAAAAAGACATTTGGCAGGCGGTATCTGAATTTCGAAGAAAAATTCACATTTCTAGAAAGTTGAGTTTCTGCCCTTTCATATGACACCTCAATCAGGAAAAATGAGTGAGGAATAACAAAGTTCTGTTTGTTTAAAGTAGCCCTTACATTTTCATAATTTTAACAAACGAATTTTTTTTCACTGGGTGCCTGCCGTAGCAAAAAGCAGATTTGACAAAAGACTTACATGTAACTCCGTTTCGTTGACAATCAGCCATGCATGAAGACTCTCGTCTACGGCTGATTGTCAACGAAACGGAATTAAGTCTTTTGTTAATTTCGTTTATTGATACGGCGGGCAGCCAGTGAATACGAATTCGTTTAATAAAATTATGGAAATGCAAGCACTATTTTAAACAAACAGAACTTTGTCATTCCTCACTCATTTTTCCTGATTGAGGTGTCATATGAAAGGGCATAAACTCAACTTTCTAGAAATGTGAATTTTTCTTCGCAATTCAGATACCGCCCGCCAAATGTCTTTTTGGTTTACTTCCTTCAAATTGCTTTTAATCACTCATGCGTGAAATATGCATCATCTGAGTAGCATCACATGATAGAGGAGACTCTAAGCTTTCCAAATATGTATCATTCATTAATTATAGTTGTGGTTAAGTTATGATAGAACATCGATACTTCTCGGTTTCGTTTTTTCTGGGACGCACTGTATATATATATATATATATATATATAATCCCACAATGAATTTGCAAGTCGTTATTGGACGAAATAAGTTGAATTGAATTGAATTCAATTGAATACATAAGTTCTTTCGTTATCAGAAAGCAAATTTATTTTCTTGAGTGATTATACTGACTAGGGTTCTAGCAAACACTTCAAAATCTATAATCATCATTTTTCCTCTTGAACTATTGTTAGAGGTTTCAATATAGTTAATTATAATTAGAATACATTACATCTAGGCATTCCGTTTTTGTTAATAATGAAATGGAAAAACTTACGTGAAGCCTGGCCTTGCCTTTTTATCATGACAGGCGTGGTTCTAGAAGATTTTGTTCTATGATTTAAAAAAAAAATTATGTGAGAGTTGGGGCTCTAATAAGACCTGGACGTGCTTGAGCCCCAAAGCGCCTTTTTTCCTATAGAACGGCTGCTGCTCCTAAGGGGCTCCTTTTACATTGAGGATGGTGTACATTAACCATTCCATTTGAAGTTATGACAATAATATAAATGCAGCAAACGGATTGCAACACTCGAATATAGACCTGGTAAACAAATATTTTAATAAATCTTTATTATTGTTATCGTAGTAGGCCAAATGTAAATATACTGAGTTAATGATTTACAATACAAGGTTCGAAAGCTTTATTTATATATTATTTGCATTATATTTGCATTTATGATATGCAATGTGAATATAGCCATGAATCAAAGTCCAATCGACCACTCTGTGCCTTTCTTTTCATACAAATTATCATATACATGTACAGGCCAGTACAATTGTAGGAATCCAATGATAGAATAGGAATAAGTGGATATTGTATTAAAATCTTCGGTATGTTATGAATTGATAATGTGCAGTATATAAACAAAGAATTCTGCTGCTAAATCATGTATATTATATGATCTTTGCTCAATCTCTATAACCCTTTTCCCCCGTTGCTTTATGTAAAATATATATTGTTTATCATATAAATCAAGCCTTTACACGACCGCAGATATTCAAAAAAACACCTTGAGAAATTGGCATAAGCTTTTCCATTACCTTTGGAAATATGCGAAATTAAAATGACTATAAGAAGTCAAAAATAAAAATTTAAATTGCCATGAAATTAATTTCTTTAGAAAATCTATGAGTTCGTGTTTGTGGATTGTTAGAGGGATTGTTATTTCATCTTACGTGCAGGACATTTAAACGTTTTCGTTTTCTACTCAAGCCCCAATGCCCTTATTTAAAGAGAAAGTCGAGTTCAGGGAAGAGCCGAACATTAATTTGTGAGCATTATTTATTTATTTATTTATTTATTTATTTATTTGAATATATTTGATCAGGATGACAAGATCAGAAAGGACTGGTTTACATCTTGGTCCTAAATATTAAAAGCTTATACTTAAAACAAAATTATCACACATATATTTTGAGAATTGTTAGAATACTCATGAAGTCATGATACGACTATTTAGTGACCCTAATCTTCGGAAAAAACCAAGTCAAAATTACATGATATTTAATTAAATATATAAAAACACAGTAATGGAATCAAATAAACAACTAATATATTTAAAATCAAAACTCTATCACACTACAAAATAAACTTATATCATGAAGTATACAATTTAATTTAAAGCAAAAAGAGCAGAAACAACGATGATTTTATTCATAATTTGCTGAAATAGGTTTTCTTATACATGTTTTTAAAACAGTCGATGGATTGTGCATTTTGTATTTTAGAGGGCAAATTATTCCATATTTTGCCGCCTTCGTAACGTAGACTATTCTTGAAAATTTAAATATTAGGCTTGGGAAGGACAACACTCATTGAGTTAGCCAATCTCGTATTCATTGGATGCCATTCAAAAACCATGTCAATAGCATTGCACAAACGTAATGGAGCGTAGTCATGGATACATTTAAACATTATACAAGCAAGAAAATAGTTACGTCTTTCTTCTAAAACCTGCCATTTCAATCGTTTAACAATATCAAGACCACTTTCATTAAAATCAGAATTCCGTTCAACTATTCTTGCTGCTCTTTTGTGTAATCTAAAAATAATGTTCTTGTTATAATTATACAGAACAACTCCCCCATATCGAGCATGCAAAATCTGATATAGGTTGGATTATACATTTATACATTTTATTCAACACATTCGTATCGGTGAAATTACTGACCTTTTTCAAAAAAAAGATTTTATAAGCTAACGATTTACTGAGCTTCTGTACATGAATATT